TAGAGACGGGGTTTCACCATGTTGACCAGGATGGTCTCGATCTCTTGACCTCGTGATCCACCCGCCTCGGCCTCCCAAAGTGCTGGGATTACAGGCTTGAGCCACCGCGCCCGGCCGGATATGCTTATTTTATGCACTATAAATTATTTGTTGTTTTAAAACTTTTAGGAAAAACACATAAATTATCAATGATTACAGTGACAATGAATGCACAAGATTGTACCTAGAAACTCTATACCCCCAGTTTCTCTTTTGGAGGCCACTTTGTGAAACAAATCACCCCAAAACGTATTGGCTTATGACAAGTTACTCTACAGTCCCACTGGCTGGGGTCCAGTGGGCAGCCTCACTCACAATGCCTTGTGTGCATGGTCAGTTGGTAGTTGGGGCTGAGGTCATCTTACTGGGCTGGACATCCATGGGGTCCTCTTTTACTCCCAGTCGGGTGCTCAGCTGGGATGACTGAGGCTGGCCCCTCCTTTAGCCCTTTCCATGTGGCCTCTTCATGCCACCAGCTTGGACTTCCTCACTGCATGGTGATCTCAGAGATGTCTGGATTTGTTACATGGTGACTGTAAGAGTGAAGCCAAGAAACCAAAACCCTTTAGACCATAACCGTCCCACTATAAGCAAACACCACAGAAAAGACTGTGGCCCCAACTCTACCCCCATCAACGAAGGCTGAGTGGAGAGCTAGATGTCCACCCTCAGCCTGCTGTCAGGAGGCGCCACCCTGAACAACAGGATGGTATCAGAGAAGGTGCAGTGGGGAGCAGACAGGCATCCCTCCAGGTCAGCAATGAGCTCTCTCACACAGCATCAGCAGAGGCCACCTGGGAACCTAAGCACCACCCGCCCCATCCACCACCCAGGGGATAATCAGGCACTTCTCTCTCCCAGTTGGGGTTGTCAATGTTGAATAAGAACTGGGACATTCACCACCTTCCAGTGGTAAGATGCATCTACCCTACAGTGTCAGTGGAGGCCCCATGAGGAGCCCCCCTCCCAAGCCAGGTCACTATAATAGAAGATTCAAATGAGCTCCAGATCATAGCATAACCCCCAAAATGCCCAGGTTTCAATTTAAAAAAAATTCAACATTCCAAGAACCAGGAAAAGTTCAACATGAACAAGAAAAGACAATCAACAGTTGCCAACATTGAGGTGACACAGATGTTGGAATTATCTGACAAGGATTCTTCAGGGGCCATCAGAAAAATCTTCCAATGAGCAATTACGAACAGACAAAAAAAAAAGATGAAAAAATAGAAAACTCAGCAAAGAAGCAGAAGATGTAAAGAAGAATGAAAGGGAAATATTAAAACTAAAAAATACAATAACCAAAATAAAAACTCATTGAATGGGCTCAAAAGCACAATGGCAAAGGCAGAGGAAACCATCTGTGAACCAGAAGATAGAACAACAGAAATTATCCAACTGAACAACAGAGAGAAAACATATTTTTAAAAAATACATTAACATAGTCTCAGGGACCTATGGGATTATAATAAAAGATCTAACATTAGCATCATTGGAGTTCTGGAAAGGCAGGAGAAAGAAGGCAGGGCTGAAAAAGTAAGTGAAGAAATAATGGCTGAAAATTTCCTGGGTTTAGCAAAAGAAGCTGAGAGAACCTCAAACAGAATCCATGCCAAGATAGACCACAGGCGAACTTCAAAAATGAAAGACAAAGAAATCAAGGAGAGAGAAACCACACCTTACTTACAGTGGGGAAAAAGCAATTCAAATAGCAGATTTCATAAGAGAAACCTTGATGGAAGGAAGAAAACACCACAGTATGTCAGGTGCTTAAAGGAAAAAACACTGTCAACCCCAAATTCTATATCCAGCAAAAACACCCTGCAGGACTGAAGATGAGAACAAGACTTCACATGCAGGAAAACTACGGGAACATGTAACCAAAACCAACATATGTACCCTAAAAGACCATCCAAAAAATGCTCTTGAAACAGAAGGAATTAATCAAAGGGAGAATAATGGAATATCAGAAAGGAAAAAGAGAAAATGTGGGTAAGTATAACAGATTTTCCTTCTCTTGATTTCTAAAAGCAAGTGTCCAGTTCCTTAAAGCAGGGGTCCCCAAATCCCAGGTAGTAGGCTGTTAGGAATCCCATGCAGAGCAGGAGGTGTGCAGTGGGTGAGCATTACTGTCTGAGCTCTGCCTCCTGTCAGATCAGCCACAGCATTAGTTCTCACAGGAGTACAAACCCTACTGTGAACTGCACATGCTAGGGATCTAGGCTGCAGGCTCCTTAGGAGAATCTAATGCCTGAGAGATCTGAGGTGGAACAGTTTCATCCCAAAACCATGCCCCCAGGTCCCCATCACCCATATCCCCCAGCCCCACTCCCTCAACTCCCCCAACCCCCCATTGGAAAAACTGTTTTCCACAAAACCTGTTCCTGGTGCCAAAATGGTTGGGGATCGCTGCCTTAAAGGGTCCAAGTGGCTGATTCTCACCCAGTAGTCTGCCCGCTGCAGGGCACACTGAAGAGGCAAATTATTCATCTGACGCTTCTCAAATCGTGGTCATCTTACCACCTGCATCAGCATCGCCATGCTTGCTTAAAATGCTATATTCTGGGCTGCTCACCAAACCTACTGAATCGGAATTTGTACAGGTGGCCCCAGAACTCCGGGTGTAAACAGGGGTTTCTTACATACACTAAGGTTTGAAAAGTCCTAAAATGTCAGTTGACCTTTAGTTCACAAAGGGTCAAGCTCAGTCACTCAGTGTTAACTTTGGAGGAAAGTGGGAACAAACTGTTTTCACAGACTCCTAGCTCTGGGCAATCCAGTTGCCCAGGATGAATGCATTTCAAGGTTAAAAGAGTAATCAATACCCCACCAGGAGTCAAGGTTACACACCCCTGCACGATGACAGGTTGTCCTAGGAAGTGTGGCCGGAGTCTAAGCCACCACTGAGGAGTCTGTCATACATGGGTGCCTGTGCTTTTTCCTCTCTGAAATGGGGGCAGCATCTGCCTTTCCAAACTCTTAGGGTCAAGGTGAACAGCAAAAGAGGTGTGCCGTGCACAGGCTTTTAAAATATTAGTTGTTTTTACCTAAATCGAATGTTTACTCTCTCCTTAAAGAGGGCTGTTGTGTCACCCTTTTTTCTTTGAAATGGAAAGTTTCTATATTCTTCACCCAGAATCCTAGAAAGGCAGGCATGATGGTTAAAATTAAATGTAGACCTTAATGTACCCAGTCTTTTCTGCAGAGTCCTGAAGGGCAGTCCGAGGACTAAACAGAGGGGGCCCTGGTGTCAGCAGCAGTGGGAAGAGGTGGGAAAGAGCCCAGGACCCCCCGCAGAGCTAACCAGGCCGTTTTGCTCTCCACCAGCTGGAGGCCTTCCCCTCCGCGTCGCCTCTGCCCGCGGTGTCTCCAGGTTCCCTCCTGGAGATGCGGCCCTAGGTCTTGCCCCTCCCGCGGAATGGTTCGAGGTGACGCGCGACAGGCGCACGGCTGGGGTCTTGCAGGACCCATGCACGCACTCCCTCTAACTGGAAAGGAGAAGTCTGCAAACTGTCATTATGAGGAGAGGGTTGAATGTGGGAGTGAAAGCCTTAAAGATACAGCAAGGGAAGGAAGGGGTTCGAACTACTGAAAAAACAAATCTGTCCACCAGCCAACTTGCGCTGGCGCCGCCTGGGTGCCTCCAGTGCCCGGGCGATGGGCTCGCCTGCCTCCGGGGGCCAAGAAAGATTCATGCTCCAAAGCGCCGGAGGCGCAGGACAAGCGTCTCCCGGCCAAGCCCTAGCCTGTCCCAGCGACCGGGACAGGGTGGACGGGGCGCACCAGGGTGGCTGCCCCAGCTGGGAGCGCACGTGGTGCAGGGCAGGCGGGTTCCTCCTCACTTAAGTCATGGACTTGGCTCGCTGCGGCGGAGCCGGCGCGCGAACGTGGCTTGAGCCAAAAAAGAAAAAACGCACACAATGTGTTTCTTGTTAGGGACTGCAAGCCCGGGCCTCGGGTTTTGCTTTTGGTGCCGCATTATAATATTAAGATGCAGTTTGATTCCGGACAAGCCCGCCCTTGTCGCTGGCTGGGGCGGATTCCCACGGACGCCTGTGGGCAGAGGGGGGCGGCCTGGGCGCTGCACTCTGCGGGGAGTGGGGGGAGCGCACAGCGGATGGAGGGGGGTCCCTGCATGACCCAGGCTCCTGCGGTGGCCGGACCCCAAGACGCGCGCCTCCAGGCGGCGCAGACTCGGCGACGCCAGCCCTGCTCCCGCCAGTTCGCGGGCGGCCCAAGATTGTTTTCCAAGACCTTATCTCTTGCTGAAGTTAATTTTCTTTTTTAATTTGGTGACCGGAACAAAAGTCACAGGAAAATCCTTTGTGAAAGCTAAACGCAGCCACAAATCGGGACACTTCACAGCATTTGTAACAAAATATTTGCAGTGCCCGTAGTTAAATCGGCCCCTCCGCCAAACTTCCCAAACTCTGCTTTCCTTGAGCCAAGCTGAAAAATGATCTCCCTAAAAGGGAATCAGAAGGTTGCAAGCAATTGGATGTTGCACGGAGTTCTACCTGGCACTCGCGCTCTGGGCACACAGGACCGCGCGGGAATCCTGGAAGGAATGACGGCCCGGATGGTGGCAGCGAAGGGGAGGAGCCACTGTTGAGCCGTTGTAGTCCGTGAAACGCTTTGTTAATGCCATTTACTAGCTGTGTGCAACAAGAAGTGTAAGAGATTAGGCAGGTCTTCAAAAAATACCCAAAAAGGGAAAAATAAACATCCCCTTGTTTGCTTTTTGTGGCTTTGCTCATTTTCTTCCCCTCGCGTTGCCCTTCATCTAAAGCTGTTTTAAACCCAAAATCGGTTATCTGGTTTCAGGGTAAGGGCTCCCTCTTGCCAAGGTATTAAATAAACAAGTACAGCAAAAACTTGAATCCTTATGTAATCCAGATGCCGTTTCCTCGAAAACCACAACAAACGTTGCTAAACCAGATAACAGGACTAGGAACATTTGCCCCCCCCCCCACTCCGCCCCCCACTCCACAACACACAGCCTCCGCCCCCGGCTTTAGGGCCAGTAGAGAACATTTATGTCCAAGAACTCCTCTCCGGGACAGACGATAAATAACTGCTACTAACGCTCTCAACTGCAGATGAGCACCCTTGAGGGATCCGGATGCCATAAACTGTCCGGGAATGTTGGCATCTGGTTCTTAAAATGGAACTTTCCCTGGAGATAAAGTCAGGACCCAGGAGGCGTCTGCATTTGCAGGCTGACTTGGAAGTTTCTTGCCAAGATGTTCTCAGTCGAAAACGGTGCATTAGAAAGGGGCTGGGTCTGGCCCGCGCTTTGTAGTGGTAATGAGAGCGCGAATCGCGCTAGGCTCTGCGCGGGAGGCGCCAACGAGCTGGAGGACTGGGGCTGCACATCCTCCCGGCTCTCCCAGGGCGGAGAAGGGGGCTGTTCTAGAAAAAAATCTAATGGTTTTGGGCAACCTCGAAGAGTTCCGAGGAGTTAGGCAGTAGGACGATACGGGGATGGGGGGGTCTTTCAAAAATACTTTTAGGAGTCCAGGATCAAAGCCATCCGACGAGAAACCGAAATGATCCAAAGGAATAAATAAATCTCGCCATGCGCTAACATAGTGACCTTCTCCCATCCACCCTTCCCTCGAGCCAGCCCCACCCCGAACGCCTCGGTTGCAAAAACAAAATAAAGCAAAACCTTTTGCTTTGGCAACCTCTAAGCCACATTATGCCCTCTTTTGCAACAGGAAGATTTCTTTTCTCCCTCTCCCGGCTTTTTTTCCTTCATCCTGCCCTCCGCTCCTCACCCCCCTCCCCCTTTTCTTTTCTTCTCCGTCCTCCTTCCTTCCCCAAATCACTCGAAACTTAAGACGTGCAGCGGCTGCAGGTGCGCGCGGGGCCGGCGGCCGGGCCGGGGCGAGCCTGGGACTGCCGGGCCTCGCAGGCATTGATCAGCTGGACGCGCGCGCTGAGTGACGGCGCGGTTGCCATGGCAGCCGCCTGAGCGGCGCCGGGAGGACAAGGCTGCCGGGCGGCGTGAATGGGCGGCGTCACGCGCCTGGCGCCAGAGAGTCTGCTCCGGGGCTCCGGCTCCGGCCCCGCCGCGGCCTGGCCCGCGCGCCGCCGCTGCCGCTGCCAATTCATCACCTGTCAGGGATCACTCGCGGGGTCACGGGCGGAATGGACACAGCTGTGAGAACAAAACCGGGGGAAGAAAGGCGAGCGCTCCCCATTGCGCCAGATGTGCAGGGAGGACCTTGAGACGCACCCCCCGCCCCCGCAGGCTCCTCCCGTTCCCCCCCCCCACCCGCGGCGCATCACGCGGGGATGGCAAAGACTGCCGGGCCAGTGCAGAGCTCAGGGCCCAGAGCTGCTTCTGATTACCGCAAGGGGCCCGGACGCCGGAGCTGCGGCCGGCCCTAGAGGCGGCGTGAGCGAGCCTTGGAGACAGGCTGGGGGACCGGACAGGCAGGTCTGTCGCTGCCACGGGGTGGGGGCGTCCCGGTGGGGAGTCCAGGGGGACCGCACCGACACCCACCAGCGGAAGCTCTGCACACCTTCCCACCGCCCGCGGATCTGGCGCTCCGGCAGCAGGGGCCCTTTGAACTTTGGAGGCCTCAAATGCAACCCCACCAATGGACAGATTTTGACGTGCCTTAAACCCACCCTGAAAATGCTCCAACACGATATCCCCCCGCGAAAACAATTTTTAAGGTTATTTCATATTGGGCGTGCTGAAACAGACACACTAGTGAGTTAGGCCTTGTTTAAATCATTAACTTATACAGCTTTGTAATCCCCTTTAAATGATCTTTAAATGAATGTAAAACTGGGTAGCGTGCCAATAGAATCTTAAACACAGCCAGGCAGACTGGACTCTGACATGGCAGCTAAAGAAAGAAACACCAGAAAATTTTCACCATATTTAGCCATTTTTCTACATCAGGGTACAGAAATGATCATGGGAGAAGGCACTGCCTTAATCAACTTTGCAAAGTGTAAAGTGAAACCGCACAATGCTCATTACCGCCCAGCCCAGAGCCTGGCTGTCGGGATAATGAGGCTGGCACGGATGTTAACATACGGTGTCCTTGGAAAAAGCTAGGAATGCGTCAGTATCGAAGAGCTGCAATGTCCAAGAATCATAAGTAATAATTTGAGAATCCCAAAGATGTTTGTTTACATTGGCTATTATTGTAAAATAGTCAAAGTATAACATCATGAACCAAAATAGTGTCAAAACAAAATCTGTTCCACTGTGGCACGTATGTGACAGAAACACATGCACACAAAGCACATCAAAAGGCTCGAACTGTGGGAGGACTCGGATAGTAAATCACTTCCAGACTTAATATCAGAAGAGACGCGGTGCATCCAACGCGGTCAGGGACGGAGTCGCAGGCAGCATCGTGAGCCTTGGGGAGGCCCTAGGCAGATTTCTGGCTGGACAGGAAACCACTCACCTTCTCCAAACTGAGGGTGCTGAATGTCATGAAGGTGATCTCCACCTCAAAGCCACCCATTCTGCCTCCCTGGAGAGGCGTCCTGGGGGGGCATGGCTGTCACGTGAAGGTCAGAGACAGCCGGGTCCACCAGCTGAGAAATTAATCATTAATTGAAGGAAGGAACAGTGTTTCCCCGTCACTGAGCTTTCCTTTCAGCCTCTAGGGCTGCCCCTTCCTCTTTCTTAAATGCAGAGGTAGAGATTGAGGCAGAAAGTAAGATTTGAATATTGCCTTTCCTGGGGTTGTCTAGTTTATTGTTTTTTAGAGAAAATATGATTTTCAAAACACGAAACTGACACAGTGTGCTCAAGACAGAAGTCAAGATAAGCTAGAATTATGTGAGAATTAAGGTATTTGAGTAAATAACTATAAACTTTTTAAAAATTTAGACTAAAAGAATGAGTTCTTAAAGATTTACAGGCAAAAAAAAAAAAAAAAAAAAAATACCTGAACCTCTATTCAGCACCAGTGCTGAAAAAATTCCAAAACTCATACATGACAGAATTTTTTTTTTTCCGTAAATAGTGCGAAGATGTCAATCAATGGCTAGGGCCACCTATCAGTCACAAAGCTTTAGAACGCCTCTAGGTGTTGGAATGTGACACCAGAAATCACAATTCGTACATAATTAATCACATTACTTTGCCGTCTACTCTGAAGGGCACAGACCGGCAGCCTTTCAAGGGCAGCGTATGTAAATGCAGTTTCAATATGCAAATTCTCCTAATAGTTTCCGATTAATACGATCATCAGAATAGCCTGCCTCCTTTTTGGAAAGGAACCCTGAAAGCGCCCTGCCTGGGAGAGCTCCTTAGCGACCGACCGGCGAGGCTGGGCATGGTTTCCAATAAGTACTCATTCTCCTGAGTTTACAGTAATGCCTCCCGCGCTGCTCCGGGTTGCAAAAGCCCACACTAAACCTGTCGTCGAATGCCTGCGTGGGTGGTTTGTTTGTGTTAACATAACTTTTCCTTATCTGAAGAGACGAACTCACTCTACAAACGTGACTCTTCAGTGGCAACCTAATTTGCGTTTTCACTTTCTTCTGAAATGCTTTCTATCTTTCCTCACGCTCTCTCTCCGAGGGGTTGCAGTGAACTGAGGCTTCCCCACTGCGGTGCTGACCTCGCCCCTGTCGCTGTGATTTTTAGGGCTGCCGACAGCTCCAAGGTGTGCAACGCTTGGTCTGGCAACACCCTCACGACGAAGGTCTTGCCTCGCCCTTGGAATTAGAATTAAGAATGTACATTTAGGATCCCTGGGTCTGCCCCCTCCACCGTCCCCCTCCTCCTCCCCCCTCCTCC